GTTCAGAGGGGGAACGGAGGGACTGTGTTAAAGAAACTTCTCTTCCCAGGTCCACTAGGTGAGGCATTTCAAATGCAGGAATTTCCCAGCTCCCTCTGGCTCTTTGGGCACCACCTCCACGCCTCCATCTGGAGACCAGAGGGGTGGGTTTCAAACAGTTTCCCAGCTCCCGGGGCTCTTTGAGCACTGACTCCACATGGGCCAGGTAAAATTCTTTGTCTGATTTTCCCATGTGTGGGAAAGCCAGGTGGGGCTCTTTTGTCCCAAATTCCTGCTGAAAGCTCTGGGAGGAGGGGGCTCTGTAACTCAGAGATGTAGAACAAGTAGCCAATCTGGTATCAGAGTCAAAGATCAATCACTCCAGAGGAAGTCTGAAAGAATTCCTCTCATTGGACAAAAACATGAATGGGGAGGGAATAACTCAAGGGTTAAAACTTCAGCTGCTCCTTACCTGAACGGATTTCCCACTCTGGGTTCCCCTCCCACAACAGCGTGGGAGCTGTTTTTTTCCTCTCTCTCAATCTGTCTGTCTAATAAATTGCTCTTCTGCAAAACTCTGTGGGTCCATGATTTTATTCCAACGGTAAACTCACCACGCCTCCAGGGCCCCCTCCCCCAATCTTCAGGGTTAGAGGGGCCAAAAACGTACAAGCTGGGTACAACCCCGGTAACAATAGGTGGAGATAAGCTTATTTAGGGAAAAGGTGTGGATTTACAAGAGAAGAGAACTCAGGGATGAGGCATGAGTCACTGCAATATGTAAAGGTTTCATCAAAGAAGATTAGCCAAGCAGAAGAGCTAAGGAGGGAGACTAAAGAGGTAGGATGAAAACTGCGAGTTATTCAAGCCAAGAGATGAGACATGACATGACATATGTTTCAAGGAGAGAGGGATCCACAATACTGGAAGCTGCCAAGAGGAGATGTACAACATGATGACCAAAAAATCTCCATCAGATTCAGCACCAGGGACATTATGGTGACCTTAGCAGCAGTGGATGTGGCTGAACAGTGCGAGCTGAAATCAGCCTGGAGCGAGGTGAGCACTGTGGGGGAGGTGAGAAAACAAATACAAGTGGTCAACTTCATCAAATCTGACTTGTCAGAAAAGGGCAGAGAGAAGGAAGTAGCAGCAAGATGTCTGGTCATGGGAGGGCAGCATTTAAGATGGCAAGATGAGGAGTGTTGAATGCAGATGAGAAGGATCCACTCTATTGGTAAGAACAGGAAGATGAAGATACAGAGACAGCATAGCTCAGTGACAAACAGCTCGGCTGCTGGAGCTAGACCATTTGGGTTCAATTCTGGTTTCTCCGCCTGCTGCCTGTGGGACTTAGGGCAGGGTATTTGGCCGCTCTCTGACTTTGTTTCCTCATCTGTAAAATGAAAAAAATGGAACTATTGTTATAAAGTTAAACAAGAGAAGGTATTGAAAGGGCTGAGGTGTGGATGGAGCCACTTTGCTGGTGTAGGATTCCAGAGCCACATCAGTTTTCCCCTCTCACCTGAGCTTTGTCCTTAGAGACACTGATTGTTCTCTTTTAACTTCTTACCACAACTGGACAGTTCTTGACTCAAAGGGGTTTGCAACGGACTAAACATCTGTGCCCTCCCAAAATTCATATGTTGAAATCCTAACCCCCACTAAGATGGTATTAGAAGGTAGGATCTTTAGAAGGTAATTAAGTCATGAGGGTAGAGTCCTCATGAATGGGATTAGTGTCCTTACAAAAGGAACTCGAGAGAGCTTTCTCACTGTCTTTGCATCATGTGAGATAAAATGAGAAGAAAGCAGCCTGCAAACTGCAAGACGGCCCTCACCAGAACCTGATCATGCTGGCACCCTGATTTATTTCCCACAGCCTCCAGAACTACAAGGAATAAACTTCCATTGTTTATAAGCAATCCAGTCTATGGTAATTTGTTATAGCAGTGTATTAGTCTGTTCTCATGCTGCTAATAAAGACCTATCCAAGACTGGGTAGTTTATAAAGAAAAAGAGGCTTAATGGACTCACAGCTCTACATGGTTGGGGAGGCCTCACAATCATGGCAGAAGGCGAAGGAGGAGCAAAGGCACGTCTTACATGGCAGCAGGCAAGAAAGCAAGTGCAGGGGAACTCTCATTTATAAAATCATCAGATATTGTGAGACATATTCATCGTCATGAGAACAGTATGAGGGAAACTGCCCCCATGATTCAATTATCTCTACCTGGCCCCACCTTTGACATGTGGGGATTATTATAATTAAAGGTAAAATTTGGGTGGGTATACAGCCAAACCATATCATTCCACTCCTGGCCCCTCCCAAATCTCATGCCCTTATGTTTCAAAACCAACCATAACTTCCCAACAGTCCCTCAAAGTCTTAACTCATTTCAGCATTAACTCAAAAGTCCACAGTCCAAAGTCTCATCTGAGACAAGGCAAGTCCCTTCACCTATGAGCCTGTAAAATCAAAAGCAAATTAGTTACTTCCTAAATACAACGGAGGTACAGGCATTGGGTAAATACACCCATTCCAAATGGGAGAAATTGGGCAAAACGAAGGGGTGCAGTGGCTCACGCCTGTAATCCTAGCACTTTGGGAGACCAAGGCAGAAGGATCACTTGAGCTCAAGAGTTCAAGAGCAACCTGGGCAATATAGTGAGACCTCATCTCTACAAAAAACTTTTTAAAAATAAAAAAATTAGCCAGGTATGGTAGTGCATGCCTGTGGTCCCACCTACTCAGGAGGCTGGGACAGGAAGATCGCTTAAACCCGGGAGGTCGAGGCTGCAATGAACTATGATTGTGCCACTGTACTCTTGCCTGGGTGACAAAGTGAGACCCTGTTTCAATAAATAAATAGAAGCACCACTTTTTAGAGGAAAAGCCTCTCAAGTCTTCTTCAGATTTAAGGTCTTCCATTTCATCAGGGCATTCTGGATGGGTAGTTTTAAGGGAAGGGCCTTTCTGACTCAGCCTGGGTGTCCCAAAGACTTCAGCGCCAGAAAGAGTGACTTTTCAGTCCAGGCAGTGTCAGCTATTTGTCTGAAACAGCATCTAACTGCCCAGAAGCCATCCTGACCCTCTCTAGGACATGCTTGCCCATAAAACTAGTAGAGTTTGAACCAACAGTTACTTCTCCTTAAGTGAGATCCAATTCCCTGAATGCTTCAGGGACAGGACTGGGTGGCAGCCACAATCCCACCTGACCTTCTCTTCTCCTGCCTAGGTCTCTTGGCTTTTCTATCTATTCAGATTCCTCGCCTGAACTTTTGACACAATGATTGGAGTGACCCTCAGTATCTAACATCAAGACACTTACCCAAGTTTTCTCTTGAAACTGCATCTCCAACTCATTTCCACTAGACTGGATTCTCTATGCTTGAGAAAACAAGAACCGCATGGGACAAGCCACCTGCTGCTTGGGACATGACCTCCCTGGGCCTTGCCTCTGTCCCTGCTAGTGCCGCACTTCTTGTTTCCTTCACACTTGGGCTCCTTCCTGTTTTTCTAGTTGTGTTCCCTAATATTCCATTTGGGAATGATTTTGATAACAAGGAGTTAAGGATCACCTCTCCCCCTTGCCTGCTAAATGCAACTGAAATTGGAAACAACCCAAACTCAGCTAAGTTGCAGATGCCAATCATCAAAAATAAAACTTATAGATTCCATCCATTTTTAGCAATTTCCTCAGAAGACATAATTTTTTTCTTTTCTTTTTTGTTTTTGTTTTGTTTTTGAGACGGAGTTTCGCTCTTATTGCCCAGGCTCACTGCAACCTCCACCTCCTAGGTTCAAGCAATTCTCCTTCCGCAGCCTCCTAAGTAACTGAGATTACAGGCATGCACCACCATGCCCGGCTAATTTTGTATTTTCAGTAGAGACAGGATTTCTCCATATTGGTCAGGCTGGTTGCAAACTCCTGACCTCAGGTGATCTGCCACCTCTACCTCCCAAAGTGCTGGAATTACAGGCATGAGCCATCGCACCCGGCCTGACATAATTCTTTTCAAATTGATCTTTCCGTTTTTTAAATTCCATTCTATAGCTAATACGGGAATTCAGTTACATAAAAAATTCAGTCTCTTAAAATTAAAAAAGGGAATCAAATAAATCATGCTCCATCTTGCCTGAAAAATCAAGACCTACCTATATTCATAAAATTCTCACAAAGTATGAATTATAAGCTATAAAAAGCTATAAAAATATACTGCACATATCTTTGTGATGTAAGCACACAGTGAAATCTGCTAATCAGTGATGCTTCAAGTGAGGAGAATTAACTGGCTTTCCAAGATATTCTATTGGGATTAAAAGAAAGCAAGCAAGCAGGTATTAAATCAAAAGTGAAGTGATTATGTTCATCTATGTTAAGTAGTTTACCTAGACTACAGTGATCCCCTCAATAATACAATGGCGAAGGATTCTAGTATCCTGCAGCTGAAAATGTAGAGTTCAGTTATATTATTGTTATACACATTCCTTTTCATCAACTCATAGAAGCAAATCCAATACAAGCTAGTTGAGCACAAGATACGGTGTTCTTAAAGTCTGATCCTTGAAACAGTTACATCAGCATCATTTGGAAAATTGTTAGAAACAGATATTCTCAGATCTGTCCCAGACATACTGAATCAAAAATCCAGGGAAGGATAGGTGCGGTGGCTCACACCTGTAATCCAGCACACTGGGAGGCCAAGGCAGGAGAATCACTTGAGGCCAGGAGTTTGAGACTAGCCTGGGCAACAACTTAAGAAGACCCCCATCTCTCAAAAAATAAAAATAAAAAATTACCCAGGCATGGTGGTATGCCCCTGTAGTCCTAGCTACTCAGGAGGCTGAGGTAGGAGAATCGCTCGAGCCCAGGGAGTTCAAGGTTATAGTGAGCTATGAAAGTGCCATTGCACTTCAGCACGGGCAACAGAGCAAGACCCTATCTCAAAAAAAAAAAAAAAAAAAAAAATCTGGGGGGGGCTAACACTCAGCAATCTACATTTTAATAAGCCTTCGACATAATTCTGATGCATGCTCTAGTTTGACAACCACCACTTGAATTCATCTTCCTTTAACACAGAGAACTATCAGGTGTCCCTCCTCATGTGTGAAGCCGTATTGGTGTCTCCCTTGAGCTGGGCTTGTCCCATTAGCCCATTGTGGGAATGAGATGTCATTCTTTACCTCTTTTAACCAGGGTCCATCATGGAGACTGATAAGTGTTCCCCAGGGTCTATTCTACTCTTCTTCCTACCATTACAGTCACTGGCCACCCCTACACGCCGTCACAACTTTTAATACGCTTATTAATATTTAAGGCAATTTTTAAAAATACGCAAACGACGTTGGCGCCTGATTTTGTAAACAAAGTTTCACTGGAGGTTCCAGCAAGCATCTGTCCACTCAAAAACCAGACTCCGGCATCCGCCATACCAAGTGGCACTGCGGGTGTCCGTCGCTAGAAGCAATTCCTCCACCCCAGTTTAAAAAAAAAAAAAAAAGAATGGGAGACGAAGAAAGAAAAGATGGTTTCGCCGCAGCCTGCCAGGGGCCTCAGAGACGCCGGAAAGTAGGGACAGAAAGAAGCTTGCGATGGCCCCCGCCCGCCCCCCGCACCGCAGTCCACACGGCTAACCGGGTCCTGCCGCTTTAAATACGGTAGGCTCGGGGGCGCGGGGCAGGCAGTTGCCCCGGGAGACCGACGCACAACAGCGGCGCGCGCCCGCGGGAGCCCACGGGGACGGCGGCCACGCAGCTGGCTGTAATCCCGCCTCCCGCCAGCCATGGCTCACTTGCGCTCGCCTAGCGGCTTCGGAGACCCGAGGGAGAATGACCAAAAGGAATCAGAGGAGGGGTTAGAGGAGGAGGAGGTGGAGGAGGAGGTAGAAGAAGTGGAGGAGGAGGAAGAGGAGGAGAAGGAGGAAGTGGAAGAAGTGGAGGAAGAGGAGGAGGAGGAAGAGGAGGAAGAAGGGGAGGAGTTGGTGGGGGAAGAGCAGGAGTTGGAGGCCCCAGAGACGTTCAGCGATGAGTACCTCTGGAAGGTCATGGACATTGGTGACTACGAGGACTTCCCAGACGTGCGTTCCCGCTTGGCCAGCATCGTCAGCCCTAGCCTGAGCTCGACGCCCGAGCCCAGCCACAGCACGACCAGCACCGAAACGCCAAGCGCGAGCCTGCCCTCCAGCGCTTCCTCCCATAAAAGTACCGCCCCCGGCCCACCCCTTCCTCGAGGGCTTTCTAGTCCCCAGGGGGCATCTGGTCCACCCACTCCTGTGCCTTCGTTGACCTCAGTTTCATGCCTGATTTTAAATGCATGCACCACTCCTCACACCTAATCTCTCTCACGCTCTTGTCAGAGGCACTGAACTCGGCTGAGCTATTGTGATGATGCAAGATTTAGGATATAGACGAAACACTGTAAAAGTCGAACTTGGGCATTGCTGTATGGAGTGCTCATTTGTTTTTTTGTTTGTTTGTTTTGTTTTTTGAGGCTCAGTCTCGCTCTGTCGCCCAGGCTCAAGTGCAGTGGCTGCAGCCTCGACCTCCTAGGCTTAAGCCTTTCACCGCAGCCTCCCGAGTAGCTGGAACTACAGGCACACACCACCACGCCTGGCTAATTTGTTGTTGTTGGTTGTTGTTGTTGTTATTGAGACAGGATCTCTTGTTGCCCTGGCTACTGGGAGTGCTCATTTTTATAACACTTTTGCGTGCGTTCACACCGCGACATCTCTCCCTCTCTCCCCTCCCCTACCTCTCTCTCCCCTTCTCCCCTCCCCTACCTCTCTCTCCCCTTCTCCCCTCCCCTCCCCCCTCGCGCCTCCCCCCACCACACACACTTGTTATTTCCAGGCTAAAACAGTTCTGCAAAAAAACACAACTTCCTTTTGTGTTTAACATCCTATATTGAAGCCCCTCTAGCCACTTCCTTGAAAAAAAAAAAAAGGAAGAGAAGTCGTTTAGAGTGGGTTTCTCAAGCTCTAGTATTGACACTTGGGTCTGAATAATTCTTTGTTGAGGAGGATTGGGGACTTTCCTGCGAGTTATAGGATGTTTAGCAGCACCCCTGTCCTCTACCCTTGGTACGCTCGAAGTATCCTTGCGATGATCAAAAATGGCTCCAGACATTGCTATGTGTTCCTGGGGGGCAAAACTGCCCTTTTGATTTAGAGGGAGTAGCTAATTTTTAAATGTTTCATTCATTCAACAGGTTTCCCTAAAATATTTCAGACGTTTAGAAAAGACATGTCTGAAATGGGTATAGATAGGTAAGAAAATGTTTTCAAATTTCATATTTTTTGAACCCAATAATGTTTACCTTACGCACAAACATGTTAGGATTAAAGTAAAATAATCCAGGGCATTTAAGACTTATTCAAAAAAAGTTTTTTTAAAAAATATATACACTGGCAGACACTTTGGAAGAGATAATGGTTCCTACCTATCCCCAGCTCCTAGCTCTAGAGATTACATGTCCACTTATCAATGTAACATGAAAGAATAAATAATGTGCCAGGTGTACAACTGTTTAGAACATAGGCTTTTATTGGCTAAATGCAAGAGTGATCAGGGACACCTTTTGCAAAAGGGAAATAATGGCCTTTCCTTTTTCCTCTCTCTCCTTTTTCTTGTTATTGCTATTAGCCTTCAAGCACTTTGACTATAATAAGAAGATAACAAAAATCTGGAACATCTTTGTAAATATTCCCTGAAATCTCACACCAAACCTAAGTCCATGATCTTGAATTACTAGTTAACATAACTTTGCTTTTGTAAACAACTTTTAAATTCTTACGTTTAAGGAGAATTGTTCTGTTCCACTTACATTTTTAAGTTTAATTCAATTTGTAATAAAGATAATGTATCCACGTGGTTTAAAAAAATCAAACTATACAAAGGTATAAAAGTGAAAACCTCCATGCCTTTCTTCACCTCTAGTCCCACTTAGCTTCTTCAGCTTTGTTTCCATTATAATTTTAAATAACATTTTCTTTTCTTGGTTTATCAATTTCTGACCTATGTATTGAATTCCCACCTCTCCACTTTGGTAGTTATATTATTTTTAGTTTTTCTAACATTTAGGACTTCAGGATATTTAAACTTCTTCTTGATTGATCAATTTTAGTATCATTGACTATTATGAAAAATTAACATATTTATGCACTTCCTCCTTCCATCTCTCTTCTCTCCTTTTTTCTCAATTAACAAACTATATACGATACATAAATTATATTAAAATGTAATATATTTACATAAATTTATTTACTTTGCCAAGCTTTATTATGCTTGTATTATGGTTTATTATAATTAAAGTGTTCTGGGTATAGGTTGATTATAAAAATTAAAAACCAATAAATAAGACTCATACCTCCATGTTAACAAACCAATAATATGATTGAATCCATGGACAAGAAAATATAATCCTATGTCTGTAAAACTTGTTAAACTTTTTGCTGGGCTCGGTAGCTGATGCCTGTAATCCCAGCACTTTGGGAGACTAAGGCGGGCGGATCATGAGGCCAGAAATTGAAGACCAGCCTGGCCAACATAGTGAAATCCCGTCTCTACTAAAAATACAAAAATTAGCCAGGCATGGGGGCGCGTGCCTGTAATTGCTTGAACACAAGAGATGGAGGATGCAGTGAGCCGAGATCGCCACTGCACTCCAGACAGAATGAGACTTTGTCTCAAGAAGATAAATAAATAAAAATTTAAAAAATAAACTTTTGACTCTCCGTTGTTCTGTCTACAGTTTTTCTGGGCTAGCGCACCAGCCACACTTTCTTGGTTCCCATATTGCCTTCTTTCTTTTGTTCTTTTTCCTTTTGCTGGAGAAACTCCTCAGGTGAATTTTTTATATAGGTCTCATGGAATGGTCAAATTTCTGAGTTCTTGCCTATCTCGAAATTTCTTCGTTTTCTCCTCATATTTTGTTAATAATAAAACCTGGCATAAAAGAAGCGATTTGAAACCATTTCCCCTCAGAGCTCTGAAGACATTGCTTCATTGCCTCCTAGTAGCCAATACTGCTTCACCAGTCTTATCCTCAGACCATTCTGATACATGATTACTTTCTCCCCTTTTCTTCCTTTCTTCAGAGCTCCTCCTAGGTAGATCCTCCATCTTTAATAACGTTTCCTTTGTATTTCAGTATCTTCCAGATTTTTGGTGTTTTTTGCATGCTACTATACAGCCCTTGTACAGAATTTTTTTATTGGGGGGATTCATACTTACAATTTTCAAGAACCAGTGCTTGTTCTCTGATTGTTACCGTTCAAAATAATTTGGTTATTTTTTGTATTTTGTTTTTATCTCTTTGAGGGTACTGTTTTAATATATTAAAGTTCTCCTTTGTTCTTTGTATTATTTTTTCAAAGTTGTTCTGTTTATTTCTGTTGCTTTTTCTCTTCAGTGTTATTGATTTTTCTTAAGTGACTGGTAATCCCTCATTGCCTATTTGTATTTATAAATGAAAGGCTGGTAAGTAGCTAGAATGGAATCCTTCCCTAGCTTTGTAGTTCTGTTTTCTGACGGACCTTGCACGGGAGAGTCCATTATGATTTTTGTGCAGGTGGGTGGGGCATAACAGCGTCACCTCCTGTGGAGTGTCTGGGCAGGGAGGAGTCAAGCTGGGTAATCCTACTATTACTAGAGTTAGGACAAGGACGCTTCAGTGTATGGTTGTGGTTATTTGTTTGTTTGTTTTTGAGATAAAGCCTTGTTCTATCTCCCAAGCTGGAGTGCAATGGGACGATCATGGCTTACTGCAGCCTCTACCTCCTGGGCTCAAGCCATCTTCCTGCCTCAGCCTCCCAAATAGCTGGGGCTACAGGCACAGAACACCACACCTGGCTAATTTTTTATTTTTTTGTAGTGACAATGTCTCACCATGATGCCCAGGCCAGTCTCGAACTCCTGTGCTCAAGCTATCCTCCCACCTCATCCCCCCCAAAAAAGATCTGGTGCAAACACGCTGTGCTTAAGTTTACTGAAAATAATGGAAGAAAATATTTCAAAGAAAATAGAATCAGTATTTTCTATGTGCCTTAATTATTTGATTTTTAAACGTTCTATATTTAGAAGACCTGCTGACAACTATATAGGTCTACTCAAACCTAACATTTTGGTCTAAATTTCAGAAATATAAATCACAATTTGTCTTCAGGAATTCCAATATCAGTACAAACAGAAGAAAGTTGGCTTCGAGATTTGTCTGAAAAAGCGCAATCAAGTGAGTAGTTTGGCTTCTTAGCTTTTGCTGGGAGGAAGGATTGCCTATTGGAAACAGCACAGGTGTGGAAGGCCAGTAGCTCCAGATTTGAATCCTGGCCCCAACACATACTAACCTTGTGATGTTGGGCAAGTTGCTTACCCTCTTTGAGTCTTACTTTCTTCATCTCTTGGTAATAGTCATATTGTCACAGGATTCTTATGAAGATCAAAACAAGATTAAATATTTTCAGTATTCAATAAACGGTAGCAATTATGCTCACATCAAGAAATAATCTGCCATTGTATTTTTGATACATATCTTTATTTTTTATTATAAAAGTAACATACGCACACTTTTTAAATGTCAAACCACTGACAAGTAGATAATGTAATAATTAAAATTTTAACTTTTCTAGCGTATTTCCTTTCAGCTTTATATTCACATTTTATGTTATGTCATTTATTCATCAGATGCTTACTGAGCACCTACCGTTTGCCAAGCACCTATCATAGGCCTAGCCTGAAATAGGGAATCGGCAGTGAAAAAAACCAAACAAATCCCCCGTCTCAGTGGTATTAAAGTGTGGGAAGTGGAGGTGATGGTAAGAGCAATGATATATAGAATAAATCAGTAAATATATAAAACATTAGATGATGTAAGTGCCAAGGAGAAAAGTAAAGCAGGGAAGGGGCTGGGAAGTGTCAAGGGTTGGGGGTGGGGTGCAAGCTTATACAGGGTGCCCGGAGAAATCTTTTCCTGAGAACCTGAGGTATCTGAGCAAAGACCTACAGGAGGGGAGAGAATGAGCCAGGACAGTCTCACAGGAAAGGTGTTCCGTAGCAAGTGCCTTTTTCTAGAACAAGAGGCCAGTGTGGCTGCAGTAGAGCAAACAAGCAAGGAGGACAATCTTAGGGGTTGAGGTTAGAGAGATCTGAGGACCAGATCTTTCTCACTGGGAGCGAGGTGGGAAGTTGCTGGAGAATTTATGCAGAGAAGTGATACAATCCAATTGGTATTTTTAATGACTGCTGGCTGCTGAGAAAATATGAGGGCAAGAAGCCGGAGATTGAGCTCAGAACACTCCATTGTTAAGTTGGGGACATGAGGAAGAAATTGAAGAAAAGCATCCAGTGAGGTAGCAGAAAAAACAGGAAGTGTCCTATATACCAATAAAGTTTCAAGGAGGCATAATGATCAGCAGGTTCAAATGGTACTCGGAGGTTAGGAAGATGAGGGCTGAGAACTAAGTACTAGATCTAGCATGTGGAAGTCATTGGTGATGTGAGTAAGACCAGCTTCAGTGTAACTATGGGGATAAAAGCCTGATTGGAATGGGCTCAAAAGACAGTAAAATAAGTGTAGAATAGAAATGGAATCATGCTCCACAGTCCCATTACTAAACTTTTAATGGCACAATGTTGTAACTAAAACATCAACACAGTCTTACTTTTAAAAAGTCAAATGATACAAATCAAACAATAGTTTATTTTGACCATTACCCTCAATTTTAGGTGTCACCACTATTATCATGTTGGTGTGTATCTTTCCAAATCCTTTCCTAAGCTTTTACATCCATATAAAAGTATAGTAGTGTAGCCACTTTTGTTTGCTGTTGTTATTTACATGAATGGTAGCACGCTGAATATATTATTCTAGTTGCCTTTTCACTTAATATGCCTTGAAAATTTTTACCAGTAAATACAGGTAAAAATTCTTTGTAATTGTCATGTAATAGTACATAGTATAGATGTACAATTATTTATTTAAAGATTCCCCAACTGATGGGTAAAGTTTCTCCTAGATATTCACTTCCACAGTGTTACAGTAAGCTGCCTCCTCTCTGTTTACACACCCAAATATTGCTCTAAGACAGATGCCAAGAAAGTGGTATCGATGAGCAAATAGTTAACACATTTTAATCATCACTTTCCTAAAGAGCTGACCCAATGTATGCCTCCATCAAAAGGGTTGTTGAGACTACCCTTTTCCTACACTTTGCCATATTTTATATTGTCACTCTTAAATTTTTGACAGTCTGGTAGGTGGAAATGATTATTATTATATTTCTTAATTATTCTGATTATTGCCAAGGTTGAGCATCTTGATACCAATTATATTTTTTGGTCACCTGAATATCTTCTTTGAATTAAGCAAAAGTGTTCATATCTTTTGCCCATTTTTCCATTGGGTTGTCTTTTCTTTATGTTTATTTTTTGGCAGCTCTTTACATATCTGTAATACTTCTTTGAATGTTGCATATGTTGCAGATTGCTCCTCTTAGTTTGTCTTTTACATTTGCTTGTGGTCATTTTTTGTTACATATAATTTTAAATTTGATCTAAGTAAATATTTTCCTTGTGATTTTCACATTTTATGGTTTAAAAAGTATTTCCCTAATTCAAGGTTATATGTATATTTTCCTACATTTTCATCTAAAACTTCTAGAATTTTACTATTTCCCTTTAACACCTTAATCAATATGGACTTTATTTTTGTGAATGGCTTAAGAAGATAGCCATCCTTTTTTCCCCCCAACCTTTGTCCCCATACTACTCCTTAAGCAGTCCAACCCTTCCACTCTGCTTTGAAATGGTGTCTTTATCCTATACTAAATTATCAAATATATATTGTATATACATTTCATGTGTGTACATATTAAGAAGTGGGGCCTTTTCCATAAGGAAAAACAGGTTTCTCCTTCAAAGGGAGTCTGGTGCCTTCTCCGTTTTCTTTAAGGAACCCCAGGCTATTGTAAACTATTTTAGTTTACACATGCAGCAGAGGGTGCAAGAGAAAGGAGAGACAGCAAAAGTAAATGAAGAAGACAGAATTCAGTCAACCGAGAAGAAAAAAAACTTTTGCTCAAAAAAAGGGACAAGATTCTAGAAGAGAAAAGAAAAAAACTCGAAGGCCTTTTAAATACAAACACACACATATACACACACACATTTTGGATGTTAGCTGATTTTAACCATTGAGCTCCTTTTAAAAAAAAAATTTTTAATCTCATCACTGTATTTCAGCTAGGACAAATTGCTGTTATTTCAGAAGTACTAAGTATCAACCAGAAAGGGCTTGATTTAGGAACCAAAACCCAGGCTGTTGCGGTGGGAAAAAGAAGGCAGAACCTTAGCTATGGAACTGCAGCATGGGGCAACAACAACGGCTTTCAGTTTGGCCTGACCGCAAAAAGGTGGCCTTGTTATGTAAAGAAATCCCCTTAGGTAGTCAAAATCAAAAATCTTTCCTTTTCTTTCCCCCTCTTTTGCTGGCCATTTTTCTCCCCCAACCATGTCACCTTTTTTTCACCCCCAGTGGGAAATTAGCCACTTCAGACACCTCATTCCCCGTCACTTGGAACTTTCTTTTGGATTTGATCCAAGTTAGATAGAGTTGGTCAAACCCAATGGGAAAAAGCAAGAAACAAAAAAAAACAACAAAAAAACAGTAAGCAAAACAATTATCGCACAGCTTATATGATAACTGAGTACTCTAGTGGTAAGGAGAAAGTAAGACCAGCTGGTTGTTAATTTTACCTTTAGCCAAGACAAAACCCAATTCAGTTACTTACCTAGAGATGGGTCTCAGGCTGAAGACTGCTGTCTATCATCCAAGAAAAAAAAAATCTTTCCTGTTGGAAGCAAGCTCAAACTCTGTAAAAGAGTTACCTCCCTTCCACTGTCATAGAAATGGGAAAAAATTGCCTTCCTTATGTTGGAAGCAAGTAAAACTTCAAAAAATAAGAAGTTGTAGAGCAAAATAAACTTTAGATCAGGGATTCTCTGGAGAGGGTGCTTCCAGGCCTCAGCAAATTATCCTATTGGTTTCAGCCATAAAGATAGCTCAAGCTAGTACCACACACTGATAGGAGATCTGTCAAATGTCAGAGGAACCTCCACTCAGAATCCCTCTGTGGTTACCAAAGTGTGAACCCTGAAAATCTGAGACAGGTCTTAGTTAATTTAGAAAGTTTATTTTAGCAAGGTTGAGGATGCGCACCTGTGAAACATCCTCAGGAGATCCTGGTGACATGTGCCCAAGGTGGTAGGACCACAGTTTGGTTTTATACATTTTAGGGATACATGAGACATCAATCAACATACATAAGATGAACATTGGTTTCGTCTGGAAAGGCAGGACAACTCAAAGCTGGGAGGTGGCTTCTAGGTCATAGGTAGATAAGAGACAAAGGGCTGCATTCTTTTGAGTTTCTGTTTAGCCTCTCCAAAGGAGGCCATCAGATATGCATTTATCTTGGTGAGCAGAGGGGTGACATTGAATAGAATGGGAGGCAGGTTTGCCCTAAGTGGTTCCCAGCTTGACTTTTCCCCTTAGCTTAGTGATTTTGGTGCCACAAGATATTTTTCTTTCACGTAAGCTACCCAGTTTAGGGCATTTTGTTATAGCAGCCCAAATGAACTAAGACAGTAGTGTATCATGGACATCTTTCCATATCAGGAATGACTTACCTAATTCTTTGAAATTACGCCATAATATTTCCTCATATACAGTTACTGTGACTTAAGTAATGCTAGACATATCAGGGTTGTTCTTGTCTTTTGTTTTTTGTTTTTTTGAGCTCTTCCCTATAACAAATAATGCATTAATGAAAATCTTTGTGCATTAATTTTTTAAAATATCTGTGCTGGCATTTCTGTTAGATAAGGATGCCTAAAACATCTTTAAAATTTTTTCAGATGATCCACATTGCTCCCTACCTCCCCAAAATAGATCAACTTCTTTTGAAATTTTTAAATTATTTACTTACTTTTTGAGACAAAGTCTTGCTCTGCCACCCAGGCTTGAGTGCAGAGAGGCTTGATCTCAGCTCACTGCGGCCTCAACCTCCTGCTCAAGTGATCCTCCCACCTCAGCCCCCAATAGCTGGGACCACAGGCATGCACCACCACAACCGGCTAAATTTTTTAAAGTTTTTCACAGAGACAGAGTCTCAGTATTTTGCCAAGACTGGTCTCAAACTCCTGAACTCAAGTAATCCTCCCACCTCAGCCTCCCAGAGTTCTGGGATTACAGGCATAAGCAACCACGCCTAGCCTAGATCAACTTCTGAAGCCTGTTTCCAACAGCAGCCCTAGCAGCCCTTGCTGTCCTGGCATTGCTGAGAAAATAAGTCCCTTACATTTTAATAGCCTCTTCCCTTTGCCTCTGTCCCATTAAAGGTTGCTCTGATTGGTTTTTCATCATCACAATCCTGTCTGCTTTAAATCTTCTAGACATTTACTGAAAGTTGCTGATTTGTGGATGGCCTTCTTCCCCATTTCCAGTGCTTCTGGAATCTACAGATAGAGTAATCCTGGTGGTTTACTTCACTGTCTTGAACTATAACCCTCAGCACCCTCCTACCTGAAAAATCTCACCAAAGATAACAGACATAAAGTAGACTGATGGTACTTAAAAGAAGCAGAAAACAAAAGGGTATGCAAAGCATGGTTATGACCGAGGAAAATATTAATCTGTGTAGCACAATAGTCCCCTCTTATCTACAATTTCATTTTCTGTGGTTTCAACTGCCTGCAGTCTGAAAAGGGAAATTTCAGAAATAATCAACACATACGTTGTAAATTGCAATGATATTCTGAGTAGAGTGATGAAATCTCTCACCATTCCACTCTGTCCTGCCTGGGACATGAATCATCTCTTTGTCTGTTGGAGTCACTTCGCAGCCTTCTGATGATCAGATTGACTGTAGTGGTATTACAGGGCTGTGTTCAAGTAACCCTTAGTTTCTTTTTATTTTGTTTTACATATTCATTTATTTTGAGACAGACTCTCATTCGTAGCCCACGTAGGAGGGCAATGACATGATCTCGGCTCACTGCTACCCCTGCCTCCCTGGTTCTACAGGTGCCCACCAGCACACCTGGCTAACTTTTATATTTTTAGTAGACACAGGGTTTCGCCATGTTGCCCAGGGGGGTTTGGAACTCCTGACCCCAAGTGATCCACCCACCTTGGCATCCCAAAGTGCTGGAATTACAGGCATGAGCCACTTAGTTTCTTAATAATGGCCCCAAAGCTCAAGAGAAGTGATGTTGGCAATTTGGATATGCCAAAGAGAATTTATAAAGTGTGTCCTTTAAGTGAAAAGGTAAAAGTTATTGACTTCATTAAAAAAAGAAAAAAATAGTATGCTGAGGTTGCTAAGACACATGGTAAGGATGAATCACCTATCTGTAAAATTGTGAAGGAAAAAGAAATTTGTGCATAGTAGGGTTTGGTACTACCTGAAATTTCAGGCATTCACTCAGGATCTTGGAATGTTTCCTCTGCAGATCAAGGGGGACTACTGTATTCTAGGGCTAGAAAGGAAGGGGAAACATTTTAAACTGTGTTATATAGAATGCTTACTTTCCTTTGTTCTTCCTTATTGTTGACAAAATGTTATTTGGGAAAAGGGGCAAAAGATTAAAAGATAAAAGAAACATAGTAAGGGTGTTTATTTTTCCAAGAGATGTACTTTCTTTTATATTCAGCTTCCTATCTACTTTGTCAGATTGATGACACATGTACACTGTTTTCACAGGGAAGAAAACTGAACCTGAGTCTCTGGCATCTAAGTTAAGAGGTAAATGCATGTTTGGCGTCATCTCCTTTCGCTGGCAAAGGTAAACCACCAGTAGGGAACCACCTTAACTCACACAGAGCCCATCCGCTTTGAAAAATGACTCGCCTAAGAACGTGTAAGAAGGTGGTGAAAATGTCGGGGTTCGGGGCATCCGAACAGTGTGTGTGTGCTGAGCTAGGAGGATGATGGTGGGTGGGTGTGAATCTCCAGATTACAGAAGTGGAAAGCACTGCACAAAGGCTTTAAACATTTCTCATAAATCTATTCTTTCTCTTCAGAGAAATGGGTAATTGATCCAGAAGAGCCAAAACTAAATATTTTATATGAGCTGGAGGTAAGAAGTGTTTATCATACTAACGAGTACGCTGTTCTCATAGTAAAAATCATTTATTCGATCTTCAATTATTTCCCCCCACCACCCTTTTCTCTTTTTAAATTTAGTTTAAGGAAGACTTCATGACACTGTTTGAGCCTTCTCTGAGAACATTACCCAGCATCGGACCACCTTCCATTCTGGCATACAAAGCAGAGAGGTCCAATCTAGGCCTTAACTTCAAGGTGACTTTAATTCATGTTTTTTTATTATTACTCTTTTAAAATGACATGAAAAATACATAATGATTTGCACAGCAGACAGTGAACATACTCTACAGGGGAAAAAAAAAAATGCCAAAGAGCTCAATTACTTAGAATAATACTTAGAGTGACTGTGTTCCGTTGCCCAGGGCTGCTATGACAAGTACCACAAACTGGGTGGCTTACGATAACAGAAACTTACTGTCTCGTAGTTCTGGAGGCTAGAAGTTCGAAATCAGTGTTTTGGCAGGGCCCACCTATAGGGGCGAATCCTTCCTTCCCTCTTCCTAGCTTGTGGTGGTGGCAGCAGTCCTTGGCATTCCATGGCTTGCCACTGCATCACTCCAATCTCTGTCTCAGTTGTCACCATTCTCTGTGTGTCTGGGTCCAAATGTCCCTCTTTTCTAAAGACACCAAGTCATATTGGATTTGGGCCCATTTGAATGACCTCATCTTAACTTGATTACATTTGCACAGACTATATTTCTCAATAAGGTCACATTCACAGGTACCAGGAGTTAGGACTTCAATATATCTTTTTGGGAGACACAATTCAACCCATGAGTGGCTGCAAAGCCTGGAAACAGGCCAGACACGGTGGCTCACACCTGTAATCCTTGCACTTTGGGACGCTGAGACAGATCACTTGAGACCAGCCTGGGTGACAGAGACCTTGTCTTTTTAAAAAATTATTATTTTATTATTATTAATTTTTGAGACAGGGTCTTGCTGTGTCACCCAGGCTGGAGTGTAAGTGGAACGATTATGGTTCACTACAGCCTCAACCTCCTGGGCTTAAGCAATCCTCTCACCTCAGCTTCCCAAGTAGCTGAGACCACAGGTGTGCACCACTATGCCTAGCTAATTTTTATTTTGTAGAGATGGGTCTCACTATGTTGCCCAGGCTTATTATTAAAAGAAGAAGAAGAAGAGAGAAGAAGGAGGAGGAGGAGGAGGAGGAGGAGGAAGAGGAGAAGAAAAGAAGAAGGTGAAAAAGAGAAGATGAAAGAAGAAGGAGGAGGAGGAGGAGGCCTGGAAACAAGGGTGAATGTTTGCCATATTTGATCGTGTGAAGTGACCGATTAATGCCTGTACTTGAAGGGCAAGAGAAAGGATACCTCAAGTAGCTCCAGTAAGATGGTGCACCACCACACTGCCACGAGAGTGGTGAGGAACTGACTGGTGGAATGCTTGTTTCCAAACCTAGACTGGGTGCCATGGCCATGTGGAAAGAATTGCTTACTCCCCAGATCTGAAAACCCTTGATGACTTCTTGGGCATAGTAAAAATGCACGTTTATTCTTTAACAATGAGGGACATGAATCATGCAAGGCAACACATCATGGATGCCTGTGTAGAGACTATGTTCCATTCACCAACTATGCGCAGGGCCATGCTCTTGTTGCTCTGAGTCTTGGTGGAGACTTCCTTAATTTTTTCCTCTCTCTCTGAAGGATGAAGAGGAGGAGACATCACCCGAATGTGAATTTTGTGGAAGCGATCTAAGAGCATTTTTTTCTAATGTGGATATTTGCTCTGAAGCAAAAGGGCATGTAAGTTCTAAGGCAGGTTTACTGTGAAAATAGTGTTGTCTTTAAACATATGTAGTATTTTCTCTTGCATCTTTCCCCGCATTGTCATTTTTAAAAGTTAGGCTGGGCGCGCTGGCTCACACCTGTAATGCTAGCACTTTGAGAAGCCATGGTGGGCGAATTGCCTGAGCCCAGGAGTTGGAGACCAGCCTGGGCAACACGGTGAAACTCTATCTCTACTAAAATACAAAAATTAGCCGGCCGTGGTGGCATGCGCCTGTAGTCCCAGCTACTAGGGAGGCTGAGGCAGGAGAACTGCTTGAACCCAGGAGGCAGAGGTTGCAGTGAGCCGAGATTGTGCCACTGCACTTCAGCCTGGGCGACAGAGCGAGACTGTCTCCCAAAGAAGTTATATGTGAGCTGTCAGGGAAATGTAAAGTGCAAGCATAATGAGATACCACTTCACACCCACTAGGATGGGTATAATTTAAAAGACAGATAATAATAAGTGTTGATAAAGATGTAGAGAAATTAGAACCCACATGTACTGCTGAGGTGGAATAGAAACTGGTACATCACTTTGGAAAACAGTCTAGTAGTCCCTTGAACGTTTCAACATACAGTAACCATATGACCCAGCAATTCTATTCCTAGGTTTATACCCAAGAAAACTGGCAACATATGTCCACACAAAAACTTGTACAAAAGCGTTCAAAGCAGCATGATTCTTTTTTTTTTTTTTGAGACGGAGTTTCACTCTTGTTACCCAGGCTGGAGTGCAATGGCGCGATCTCGGCTCACTGCAACCTCCGCCTCCTGGGTTCAGGCAATTCTCCTGCCTCAGCCTCCTGAGTAGCTGGGACTACAGGCACGCGCCACCATGCCCAGCTAATTTTTTATAGTTTTAGTAGAGACGGGGTTTCACCATGTTGACCAGGATGGTCTTGATCTCTTGACCTTGTGATCCACCCGCCTCGGCCTCCCAAAGTGCTGGAATTACAGGCTTGAGCCACCGCGCCCGGCCCAGCAGCATGATTCTTAATAGCCAAAATATAGAAACAACCTGACTGTCCATCAGTGGATGAATGGTGAATGAAATATGGTATATCCATACCATGAAATATTAGTCAGCCATAAAAAGAAAATATGAAGTACTGAAACATGTTACCATATGGATAAACCCTGAAAACATTATGCTAAGTGAAAGAAGCCAGTCTTTCACTTAGCATGTTGTATGGTTCCATTTTATAAACTGTACAGAACAGTCACATTTAGAGAGACAGTATGTGAATTAGTGGTTGCCAGGGACTGTGAAGAAGAAAGGAGGGGAAGTGACTGTTAGTGAGAATGAGTTTCAGATTCTAAAATTGATTATGGTGATAATTGTACAACTCTGTGAATATATTCCAACTAATGAATTGTACTTTTTAAATGGGTGAATTGTATGGTATGTTAATTATGTTGTAATAAAGCTATTACTAGAGTAAACAGTTATGATAGATTGTTGTCCAAATCTTAGTCATTTGTATCCCCTCTAATCGTCTTCATCTAGGACTGGTAAAATGAAAGTAACTTCTATGTTTTCCAGGCCTCCTGCTGTATTGCTTTCCAAAATCTGATTGACTCTATCTATGAGGAGCAAATAAAAATCAAACCCCCTAAGGCTGAATTAATCGCTATTAACCCTCATGCAGCCCATGGCAGTGAGGTCGACAGATTCAAGGCAAAAGAAAAAGCCATGCAAAGGTAACACTGAGCCTTTGATACTGAAACTCAGACAGGCCAGCTTAATCAGAGCATCTTTTGCAAATGAACCTCATTTTTTCAAGATATATAATTTTAAAGATGTATTCCCTAGATTCACAAGCAATTAACAGATTGAATTGACAAGGGATGGCATTTAAGCAGTTGAATTTTGTAGTAGACTGTTTTAAGCTTCAACCACATTTCAGATTTATGCCTAATATTTTTTGATTTTATAGGAAACAGGAGCAACGAATGGCCAGACATTTTGCAATAATATCAAGGGAACAGACTCATTTCTCTGAAGAAGGTGAGTTCATCCATGCTGATCTTATAGACCAGCTGTACAACATCAGAAAGCTCAGATGTTTAACCAAAGATGAAATGGGTGTATTTAAAAAATAGTATTGGCTGTTGTAGTGGTTCACGCCTGTAATCCCAACACTTTGGGAAGCCAAGGTGGGAGGATCACTTAAGTCCAAAAGTTTGAGAACAGTCTGGGTAACATAGTGAGATCCCATGTCTATTAAAAATAATAATAATAATTAGTAGTATTGAAAAGTTTTTAGTTCCAAGTACAGTATAGCCTGCATCAGTCAAAATGGCTCAGAAAAGCTAGTGTTTCCAGCCATCTGGCCTTTGCAGTTTTCAGTCTTCATCTCATTGTTATTATTTATTGAAATAAATTAGCAACACCTATAGAGCACTTTACAGATAATCGAAAAGAGCTTTCAAGTCTCATATTTTATTAAGCATACTTTCCATTTTGTTTTCAAGCTTGGATATGGAAAATCTGTCCAAAATGAGTCTGCTTATTTTGTTCATCTATTAGTTGTGTAAGCTGGCTGGCCAGTATCACTGTAGTACTGGTACAGTTGAAGAAACTCTGAGTTTAGAATCAGAAGTCCTGGATTTATATCCTTGCTTTTCTCCTCACAGGCTGTCTGATACAGGGTAAATGATTTAATCTTCCTAGGCATCAGGCTCCTCCTCTACCACCCAGAGCTACTGAAAAGATACTTAGATGGGAGCTAAGCTATGAGGACGCAAAGGCATAAGAATGATACCGTGGACTTTGGGGATTTGCGGGTAAAGAGTGGGAGGGCGGTGAGGGATAAAAGACTACACATCACTGCTCAGGTGATAAGCGTGCCTAAATCTCAGAAATCACCACTAAAGAACTTATTCACCAAATACCACCTGTTCCCCAAATCCTATTGAAATAAAATAAAAATAAAAGTTGAACTGCCAAAAAAAAAAAAAGAAAAACAAAGATGCTTAGAGAAGATATATTTTTATTTATTTTTGTAACTAAATCCCTAATATAAAGTTTCTTGATATCCAACTGTTTAGAGTGTCAGTTCTACAGGAACTAAAAGCCAGAAAGTTCCACTTAATGAAAATTGTCTTTTTTTTTTTTTTTGAGACAGAGTCTCATTCTGTCACCCAGGCTGAAGTGTAGTGGCACGATCTTGGCTCACTGCAACCTCTGACTCCCAGGTTCAAGCGATTCTCCTGCCTCAGCCTCCCGAGCAGCTGGGATTACAGGCACACACCACCATGCCTAGCTAGTGTTTGCATTTCGGTAGAGATAGGTTTTCACCATGTTGGCCAGGCTGGTCTCAAACGCCTGACCTCAAGTAATCTGCCCGCCTTTGCTTCCCAAAGTGCTGGGATTACAGGCGTGCGCCACTGAGCCTGGCCTCATTTTTCTTAACAAAGGAATGTTCTCGTTTTTTGACAAAAGAAGCCCCTCACTAATTTAACGAAGGCTGACATTTTTCTTTCTTTCCTCCTCTTCATATGTAAAATGGGAATAATAGCATTTTTAAAGATGATGAAAAATTCAGATATAAAAATGTCTTATGAATCAGTGAATTCATATTGGGGTTTGAAATTTCATTTTAGAAAAGAGGCTTTAGAAAATTTAAAACATATATGTGTTTCTATGTGATTCTTTTCCCATTAGATTCAAAGCGCTTAAAAACAATTTCTTATCAACTTTCTGTGGATATTCCAGAAAAACCGACAATTGATGACATAATATTTGATTTTCAACTAAAAAACAGTAACATGTCCATCATTTGCTGTGATTCTCGGATGGCAGGTGGAAAGGTAATGAACTTGTAATTTTTTTACTTGCTATTAAAAAAAAATCAGTTTTACCTAAAATTATAAAATATTTCATGAAGCTTGGCTACATGACACATTTAACTAGTTGTTAAAAAGAATTAGCACAGGCTTGGCCTTTTAACTTTTACTAGACTTTATAATAATGTCTTGTGTTTGTATTAAGAGCTTTTTTACTTTAAAATGTAAGTGTTGCATATTAAAGAACATTTGGAACTCGTAGAAAATTAAAAGGAAGGGAAGAAAATTACCAAAAGTTCCCAATCACTTCTTCCAGAACATTAACATTTCAATATTTTCGTGACTTACACTGCCCACTATGGTAGCAATACTACATTGAGCTATTTAGATTGAAATTAAATTAAAAATGTAATTCCTCAGTCACACTAGCTATTCCACAAGTCTTAGATAGGTACATGTAATTAGTGGCTACTGTACCATAGTGAAGATAGAGAACACTTTTCTTGTAATCAAGTTATATTACCACTGTTCTAGATGGTTTCCCTTGCATACGTTTTTGTTAACATATTTATAATTGTATCATACATAAAATTTTAATCTCTTTTTTAGCTTAATTATAAAAACATTTTCCAAGACTAGGTACAGTGGCTCACATCTGTAATCCCAGCACTTTGGGAGGCCAAAGTGGGTGGATTGCTGGAGTCCAGAAGTTCAAGACCAGCCTGGACAACAAGACAGAACCCCGTCTCTATGAAATATAGAAAAATTAGTTGTGCATATTTGCACACACCTGCAGTTTCAGCTACTTAGGGGGCTGAGGCGGAAGGATCCCTTGAGCTTGGGGGCAAAAGTTGCAGTGAACTGAGATTGCACCACTGCACTCCAGCCTGGGTGACAGAGCAAGACCCTGTCTCAGTTTTTTAAAAATGCATGATATTATATAGTTTACATTATTTAAATAGCTATATAATTTTTCATGTAGTTTAACCCATTTTTCTGTTCTTGGACATACGGATTCTTAACAATTTTTTTGCTATACTAAGTAGCATTTCTTTAAATATCCTTGTATGTAAGGACATTTCTATATAAGTATAGTTCCTCAGAATAGATTTCCCAACATTAAATTACTGAGACCTGGTTTGTTTCTCTTGGGAAGTAAAGAATTTAAGGGGTAAACCAGGCAAACTGGCTTGCACCTGTAATCCCAGCTATTCAGGAGGCTAAGGTGGAAGATAACTTGAGGCCAGGAGTTTGAAACCAGCCTGAGCAGCATAGCAAAATCCCATCTCTAAAAAAAAAATTTTGGCTGGGTGTGGTGGCTCACGCCTGTAATCCTAAAACTTTGGGAGGCCGAGGCGGGTGGATTGCTGGAGCTCAGGAGTTTGAGACCAGCCTGGACAACATAGTGAAACCCCATCTCTACTAAAATACAAAAAATTAGCCAGGTGTGGCAGCATGTACCTGTAATCCCAGCTACCTGGGAGGCTGAGACAGGAGAATTGCTTGAACCTGGGAGGCAGAGGCTGCAGTGAGCCAAGATCACGCCAATTCACTACAGCCAGGGTGACAGAATACGACTCTGTCTCAAAACAATTTTTTCATTTTTATTTTTTGTTGTTGTTGTTTCTAGCACAATATGTGACATTTAGAGAGCAAAAAAATTATTTTTAATGAATTAGCTGGGCATGGTGGCACATGCCTATAGGACCACCTATTTGGGAGGTTGAGGCAGGAGGATCACCTGAGCTGAGAGTTTGAGACTGCAGTGAGCTATCATCATGTACTCCAGCCTGGGTGACAGAGCAAGACCCCATCTCAAAACAAACAAACAAACAAAAAAGAAAGTAAGGGTGTCAGTAAACCCAGGTGCCTGACAGAAGTAAATCCAAACTATCTTTGGAGGAAGGTCACTAATTCAACCTCCAAATCACATCTACAAATTATTTTTCAAGTTCAGTTACAGCACACGGTAAAAATTAAACAAGAACACAAGAAAACTTAACACTACAACTAAAAACCCAGAGGAATAATATCCAATAAGAAGAGACCTGAAAAGACTTTGGAAAATGAAGTCTAACTGTATTAATGAAAATAAAAGATCAGAGGAAGCATATGAAAGGAACAGAAAACTTAAAGTAATATAGCAGATTTGAAAAGAAAAAAATGAACTGAAGTGAAAAATGCAACAACTGAAATGAAAAATACAACAATTGAAAATAAAAATTTAAAAGATGAGAGTTAAAAGCAGGTTAAACTAAAGAAAGAGCTAATGTCCAGGAAGAAAGGTTGAAAGGAAAAAATATCAAAGTTCATTATGGGGATTAAAAAAAAGATAAGAGGCCGGGCGTGGTGGCTCACGCCTGTAATCCAAGCACTTTGGAGGCCAAGGCGGTGGATCACCTGAGGTCGGGAGTTCAAGACCAGCCTTACCAACATGGTGAAACCCCGTCTTTAAAATAAATAAATAAATAAATAAATAAATAAATAAAAGATAAGAAACACAAGAGAATGTGTATGATACAAAAATAAAATGAAAGGTCTAAAGTGCATTTATTCAAAATACCAGAAGATGAGAAAAAAAAGATAATCAGGAAGAGGCAATATTTTAAAATATAATTGATGATAATTGTTCAAAACTGATAAAAGAGACCAATCCACAGGTTTAAGAATCCCAGTGATTTCAAGCAGTATGAGAAAGAAAAAATGTTTGAGAAAACAAAAGACAGAAAGAAGAAAGAAAGAAAGAAAGAAGGAAAGAGAAAGAAAGAAGAAAGAAAGAGAAAGAGAAAGAAAGAAGAAAGAAAGAAAGAAAGAAAGAAAGAAAGAGAGAGAGAAAGAAAAAAGAAAGAAAGAAAGAAAGAAAGAAAGAAAGAAAGAGAGAAAGAAAGAAAGAAAGAGAGAAAGAAAAAAAGAAAGAAAAAGAAAAAAATCTTAGAAGTAGCAGAGGGAATAAAAGTTCAGGGTTCAGGTTACATTGAAAAGAAAACAGACTAGCAGATGACCTCCCAACAGCCAACAGTAGAGGCTCAAAGGCAATGGAATGTCTTAAGTGTGGTGGAAGAAAACAATGGCCAATCTAGAATTCTATACGCAGTTAAAATATATTTCAAGAAACTGTAAGATAGGTCAGATGCAGTGGCTCACACCTGTAATCCCAGCACTCTGGGAGACCAAAGCAGGCAGATCACCTGAGGTAGGGAGTTTGAGACCAGTGTGACCAACATAGTGAAATCCCATTGCTACTAAAAATACAAAGATTAGCCAGGTGTGGTGGCACACACCTGTAATCCCATCTACTTGAGAGGTTGAGGCAGGAAAATCGGTTGAACCCAGGAGGTGGAGGTTGCAATGAGCCAAGATCATACCCCTGCACACCAGCCTTGGCAATAGAGCAAGACTCTGTCTCAAAACAAAACAAAACAAAACAAAAACAAAAAAAAAAAGAAAGAAAAATGAAAGTGTAAGATAAAGATAAGAGGATCACTTTATAAGATAAAGATAAAGGCTCTCTGCTTCTCCTATTCGACAGGGAGCCGCATCTTGTCTCCCATCACCAGCCACATCCCTGAGACATCATGGGGAAGGTGAAGGTCAGTGTCAACAGATTTGGTCGTATTGGGCGCCTGGTCACCACGGCTGCTTTTAACTCTGGTAAAGTGGATATCGTTGCCATCAATGATCCCTTCATTGACCTCAACTACATGGTCTACATGTTCCAGTATGATTCCACCTATGGCAAATTCCATGGCACTGTCAAGGCTGAGAACGGGAAGCTTGTCATCAATGGAAATCCCATCACCATATTCCAGGAGCAAGATCCCTCCAAAATCAAGTGGGGCTATGCTGGCGCTGAGCACGTGGTGGAGTCCACTGGCGTCTTCACCACTGTGGAGAAGACTGGGGCTCACTTGCAGGGGGGAGCCAAAAGGGTCATTATATCTGCCCCCTCTGCTGTTGCCCCCATGTTCGTGATGGGCGTGAACTATGAGAATCATGACAACAGCCTCAAGATCGTCAGCAATGCCTCCTGCACCACCAACTACTTAGCACCCCTGGCCAAGGTCATCCATGACAACTTTGGTATCGTGGAAGGACTCATGACCACCGTCCACGCCATCACTGCCACCCAGAAGATGGTGGATGGCCCCTCCGGGAAACTGTGGCATGATGGCCGTGGGGCTCTCCAGAACATCATCCCTGCCTCTACTGGCGCTGCCAAGGCCGTGGGCAAGGTAATCCCTGAGCTGAATGGGAAACTCACTGGCACGGCCTTCCGTGTCCCCACTGCCAACGTATCAGTGGTGAACCTGACCTGCCATCTAGAAAAACCTGCCAAATATGATGACATCAAGAAGGTGGTGAAGCAGGTGTCGGAGGGCCGCCTCAAGGGCATCCTGGGCTACACTGAGCACCAGGTGGTGTCCTCTGACTTCAACAGTGACACCCATTCTTCCACCGTCGATGCTGGAGCTGGCATTGCCCTCAACGACCACTTCGTCAAGCTCATTTCCTGGTATGACAATGAATTTGGCTACAGCAACAGGGTGGTGGACCTTATGTCCCACATAGCCTCCAAGGAATAAGATCCCTGGACCACCAGCCCCAGCGAGAGCACGAGAGGAAGACAGGCCCTCACTGCTGGGGAGTCCCTGCCACACTGAGTCCCCGCCACACTGAGTCCCTGCCACACTGAGTCCCCCACCACACTGAATTGCCCCTCCTCACGGTTTCCATGCAGACCCCTTGAAGACGGAGGGGCCTAGGGAGCCCCACCTTGTCGTGTACCATCAATAAAGTCCCCTGTGCTCAGCCAA